TTTTTTGTTTTTTTTTTGTGGTGATGCAGGTGCTATCAAGCCATCGATCAGCGGCGGCGATGGATCCCGCCGAAGAAGGCACAAGGCGGGACGCACACCCGCCGAAGAACAGCGAACGGCGCAACAGGGGTTCAACGGGGGTTCAACGGGGGTTCAACGGGGGTTCGATAGTGATTCGATAAGGTTCGACAGGGTTCGACAGGGTTCAGCGGTGTCTAACGTTATTGAAAGGAGGCTTGGCGGTTTGTGAAGGGGTCGTGGGTTGGGACGGGCCTGGCCGGGGATAGGCCTTCGTCTGTGGCACCGCTGGGGGGGGGGGGGGGGGCTCAGCGATTGTCGGGGTGTGTGGCACGAGGGGAGGTGCTTACGGCCGGATGGGCGGGGGGTTGAAGGGGGTCCACAATGTCGTGCAAACAGATGCGCGATCATGAGCCTGCGCCCAAACATGTGCAGCAGGATTTCCGGCGAAACGCTGCTGTGTACCGTTACATTGTCGTCGGCCAGAAGGTCGACAACAAGGGGGTTATTATGCTACGGTGCACCTTCTACAATAAGGTTTGGCAGGAAACCCAGTACTATGCAACGAAACACTTCACTCAGCCAAACTATTGCAAGAAGGTGTCCAACGAAGCATTGTTCCAGATTGCGGAGAAATGCATATATCGCTTCGAGGTCGATCAGATAGAGAGGGTCCGACGGTACACACAGGAGCGGGGTCTCGATCCCCCGCGCTCTGGTGCGATGGGTGGCGAGGGGGAGTGTCCTGCACAGGGCGTGGGCGAGGGAGAGGATACCCAACATTCTGCGGAGGGAGGTGTTGCGAGAGATGGGGAGGGTGGGGGTGCTGCGGAGGAGGACGAGATGGATGTCGACCTAGAGGTTGGTAGGGCAGAGGAGGAGCGGACGCTGAGGGGAGAGCGGCGTGCCCGAGTTCGATCCAGTGACTCGTTAGAGGATGGTGGACTGGGTGCGGAGCTGGGGTAAGAAGCCCATCCCGCCTGAGACAGCATGCACGCCGGGTTCTTCCAAGAGGAAGGACGTGGATGCACATCTTTCTGCCACCAAGGCCGGAAAGAGGCTACGGCAGCAGAAGGTAACGGACATGTATGGTGGTGAGTGGATTGGTCATTGGAGGAAGACATTCTTTCGCTTGCCTGCAATGCCGTCCGCAACATGCCATGGAGGGATCTTCAGCAGGTTGCTCTTCAGCATCCTGGTGGAGGACCTCTTCCCGTGCTTCCTTCCCACAGCGAGATCGCAAGCATGCGAGCTGTGGAGATCCACCGAGAGGAGTTCAAGTTGGAGGAGGTGAGGCAGCCATTATGGGTGAGTGGCGCCACCCTCCTCTCTGACGGGAGGAAGTCACAAGACGGGCGATCGATCGTGAACTTCCTTGCACTTGGGTCTCGAGGGGTCGTCATGTACACGATGATCCACCGAGAGGGGGAGCCGGACGATGCGGTGCACGTCCTGCAATGATGGGTCACCATCTTTCACAGTTTCAGGCTCGGTGGCCCACAGCGGGGCAATGCTATATGCACTGAATCCACCTTAGCGTACGTTGGGGCTGCGAGGGCTTTGGTCTTGGCAGCTATGCCACCTGAGCTGAGGAAGATTACTTGGCTCCCGTGTTGCGTCCATGTCTGCAACAAGTTAGTATTAGACATTGGCACAATCTGCACCTCTTTCGTGGACACGATCACGTGTGCCCAAGTTCTGGTGGTGTTTTTCAGAACCCACCAGACCGCTCTCAGCTTCTTCGGGAAGCGCAGCCAGACGTTGGGGCTCGTACTTTCATGCGAGATGCGATTTGCTTCGGTGTACTCCATGTTGGAGAGGCTGTTGACTCTGCAGGATCGTTTGCAGAGCATGATGACAGCGGAGGAGGGGCGGGCTTGGGCTAGGATCCCGTGGTCCCACGACGTCCGCGACATAAGTGTGCCGACAGATCAGGTGGTCCCCTTGGTGGGAGAGGATGCAGGCCATCATGGATCCCGTCATGGACTTGCTGAGGCGGATGGACCATGGCGGGCAGTTCATGTCTCTTGTTGTAGTGTGGACTCAGGATCTTGCACGCCTCGTGCAGGACGCTTGCATCCCTCTTGGCCCGTCCTTTTTTGACTGTGTCATGAGGCGTGTGCAGGCCCGTATACAGCACATGATGGAGCCTGCACACTGCGCAGCGTTCTTACTGAACCCCCGTCACCGGGATGTTCAGTACTTCTCCGCGCAACTCGAAGAGTACCACACTTGGCTTATTCAACAAGCCAAGAGGTATCTGTTATCTCAGACGGGCTTCGACGAGTCGGGTGCTCGTTACCTTGAGGTATGTCGACAGTTCGAGGACTTCCATATGCAACAGGGTAGGTATGGGACTTGGGGCGGGGGAAAGGGCCGCGCTCGAGCGTGTAGCTGCAACGGGGACTGCGAGACGATGGAGTGTGCGTCGTGGTGGTCTCAGTATGGGGGAGACGCGCATGATTTATAGTATTGTGCCCTTCGTTTGATGCACATGTGGTCCTGCATCTCTCCAGCGGAGAGGAATTGGGCGGTCCACGAGGGTATCCATGCGAAGAAGCGCAATCAGTTGACCTTCGAGAAGGTCGTCCATCTTGTTAAGATCACCGCAAATGTGCGGCTAATGGAGTATAGACGTGCAGGTTGTGGATACGTTCTCCCTTGGCAGCGAGACAAGGATATGCTTGACGCTCAGGCAGGATTGGCGGTGGAGCCTGTGCGGTCGGGGATGAGGAGTGGGATGACGAAGGAGGAGATCGAGGAGCAGGTTGCCCTCATTACACGCGATCCCATTGGGTCCTTTGTGTCGCCCCCTGTTGAGTCTGTTTTCGGTGCTCGTGCGGCTATCTTCCGTCCGTACCCCAGGGACAATGCCTCTGAGGACGAGAGGTAGTCGGAAGCAACGGACAACCCCACGCTTCCCGTTCCGCGCGAGATTGACGAGTTGCACGAGGAGGGCGACGGGGGTATGCACACCGCGCGGGGGGCAGCAGAGCAGGCAGACAAAGATATGATGGAGGGGAAGGAGGAGATTTGGGGGTCTTTCAGGGGCATGGAGGAGAGATTACCCACTACCGTGCGGGAGTTTACGCCTCTTCGCATGACCTTGCGGAAGGAGACGTTTGCTCCCACAACTCTGAGGGAGGAGCCGCGTCCTACCACGACAGTGAGGGAGCGGATGACTGTTCCCGCAACCACGCAGGAGCAAACACTTGCTCCCACGACCACACGGGAGCAGACGAGTACTCCCGCGACGCAGTCCGGAGTCCCGTTGTCACCGTTGCCTCTTCCTCCTCATTCAGTCGCAGCATCCGCTTGGACCTCTCCCATTCGACATGACGAGCGCTCACCCGCCGGTTGGGAAGGAGGACTTGTGATCCTCGTTGCGCATGCGTGGGCATGGATCATTGACTAGCATAGCCCGTCAGCTCGTTTTGGAGCATGTGGTGGAGAAGAGGGGGAGACGAGCGGAGGAGCACAGAGCAGGCGGAGTTGAGGGTATTCGGGGTATGGAGGACGAGGTAGTTGGAGCAGTGGGGATTGGGTTGTCGTCTATGCTGGAGGAGAGAGCAGGGGGGAACGATCGAGCGCAGGTTGAGAGAGAGGGGGGCATGGTGGTGGTGGATGATGGTGCGCAAGTCGAGAAAGAGGAGGTCGTGGCGATGGTGCATGATGATGAGTAGGTTGAGAGAGAGGAGGACGTGGTGAGGACACAGGTTGAGAGAGACGAGCACGTGGAGAGTGGATTACAGTGCGCAGGTTCGGAGAGAGGAGGGCGTGGTAGGCCCGCAGGTAGAGAGAGAGAAGGACATGGTGAGGTCGCAGGTTGAGAGAGAGGAGGGCGTGGCAGGGGTAGATGATGATGATGCGCAGGTTGAGATAGAGGAGGACATGGTGAGGGCAGATGCTGGTGCGCTGGTTGGGGGAGAGGAGGGCGTGGTGAGCAACCACGTTGCCCATGGCAGAGGAGAGGGGAGCAACCACCTTAACCCGATTGTCCAGCGTTTTATCACTGACGAGATGGGTTCCGCACTAGCTGGTTTGACCCCGGGCACGATGACGGCACTGGGGTGTCGCCATTAGGAGAGGGGGGCTTCAGGGATGGGGATGCGAGATTTTATGGAGACGTCTTTGGAGGATCCTCCTTGCCCTTGTCACATAGAGAGAGAGGATACAGCGCCTGCACTAGCGGTCGCCGGCTACTCCGCAGAGGAGATCGAGCAAGCATTCACAGGATACTCCGTGAGTCATACACGAAACACGTTGTACTAGGGGTGCAAGGAGGTACGAGAGCGGCCTCAGGAGGAGCGTGAGGAGGCAACCATTGCAGATATCCCCGGAGGTAGCGGTTCGTTGGTACGGTTCACGGACCTGCAGCGGACGACGACGACGTGACCAGTTCGACCGTGTGTGCATGGGTTGGGTCCTGAGGAGGTGGCATCTGTTCAAGTACCACCGGTCAAAGTGGTGGATTTAGGATCTGAGCCACCTCTTCAGATACCGGTTAGCAGGCGACGAGCTCCTCACGATACAACTTGCCCATTGGATGTGACGGAGTTCGCATGGGCTGCTATGTGTGACGTCACACTGTAGGAGGACACCGACCCACGCAGACCTCTCATGCCGCCTCCTCCTCCGAGATCATGCCATAGCGATTCCCCCTCGACACCAGTGCGTCCACCCCCCCGCTCACCATCCACGGCCGGCAGACCGAGGGTTAGTGACACGACGGGCGTAGGGAGCCTCCCTTTTGACACGTCGCTATTCGGGAGGACGGATATCAACCTAGACTCCACGCATCGGGTCACAGTGCACACTTCATGATGCTAGCTAGGTTTGGGTGGGGCTGATACTGGGAGGGGTGCGCCGAGGGAGGTCATGGCGGCAGTATCTCAACCGCGACACGTTCGTGGGGGTGGAGAGGTCGGGTCTACCTTGCAGCACGCTTTGGCAGCAACAACACGTGTTGTGCGTGACCAAACTCCGCGCAGGAGCGGAGCAGCTCGTCGACGTCCCATGCTTGCGGCGGGGGGTGCCGCATTAGGGGAGTCTTTTGGAGCTGAGGGGTTGGGGATGCCGTGCGGTTCACATCGTGAGAAGACTGTCGCACAGGTGACTGAGGTGAGTGCTAGGGTTTTTCGGGTTCGGACGGGGGCTGACCCTGTCACCGTAGTGGAGGACAACCCCGAGACGGAGCCGGCACGAGAGGAGACCCCATAGGAGGATGACGAGTACAGGGACAACGAGGACAGTGAGAAGGAGGAGAGCCACGGTGGGGAGGACGACAGGTACGACGACTACGGCGAACCCTCCCCAACAGCGCGACGTGGTTCCGGTAGACCAGGAGAGGAGGTTCAGCCGACGAGATGGCGTGGTTCGAGTAGACGACGCGACGACGTCGACGACCCGTCCCCTCCAGGGCGGAGGGAGACGAGGAGACGAGGGTCATCCGTTGCAACCACGGTGGGGCGAGGGAGTGTTTCATCGACACGCGGCACGGGTGGGGAGAGGCGGAGAGGCAGTGGTAAGGGGAAAGGAGGTCGACGGTATCAACAACTTCGTTCCCCTTCCACGTGACCTTTATGTTATTTATCCATCGACGTTCTAACCATTTTGTACAGTGTTTAGGATGATGAACATATAGTTAGGTTTTAGGCACTTAGGACCAGTTCCTGGATTTTCGTATGCTGGTAATGTCGTTGAGACTTTTTTTTTTTTTTTCAATTTTTTTGTTTATGTACGACGTTTCCATTTTTTCTTTCAATTATTAGGTTTATATTCGAGGTGGGACTTCATTTCGACTCATCGTATTACGTAGATGTTTGTTTGGATTTTCTTTTCATATTTGTTAGTTAGCGGTATAGGCTGCATCCCATCGCTGTACGACTCCGTACGAGTATCGATGACACTTTGTATCATGCGACATGTATTTCATATTGGACTCGTATATGCGATTTCGGCATGACTTTTGTATGAGATTTCATTACTACTTTGTTTTCATTGTACTTCCATATTCTTCTGTGTGTTTATTCTTCTGTGCGTTTTTGGTGTGTGTGTGTGTGTATGTGTGTGTGTGTGTGTGTGTGTGTGTGTGTTGTGTGTGTGTGCGTGTGTGTGGCCACCCCTCCCCCAACAATCACTCAATCATTCAATTAAAAAAATAATAATAATAAATTAACCACAAAACATATATATATAAAATAAAAAAAAAACATTGGGTGGTGGTTGGGTGATGGGGTAAGGTTTAGGGGGGAGGGTTAGGGGGGTCCGGAATGGTTTGTTTGGTTTTTGTTATGGCGGGCTTGAGGGTGCGGGGGGGGGGGGGGGGGGGGGGGGGGGGGTGGGGGTTGTTGGGTGGTGGTGGGGGGGGAGGTTCGGGTAGTTCGGGACGGTAGGGGTGTCGGCCCCTGCACGTCCAGGGTTGCGGGGTGTGTTTTCTGGGGTAAAGGCTGCATAGTGGTGGGGGCTTACGATGGGGTTTTGGGGTTTAGGGAGGCGGGGGTTGCTTCGGCGGGACGTGGGTAGGCTGGTTGGGCAGAGAGGGTGGGTTCGGTAATGGCGGTGCATGCGGTCGGGTTGGGCGGAAGGTGAAAGCCGCGGAGCGGTTTTTTTTTTTTTTTTTTTTTTTTCAACCGTTAGTGTTCCCAGCGTGTACGACGATGTTCCCGCAGCCGCGAGCGCGCCCCCGTTGTTCCATTTTCAGCGGAACGACCATGTCGTTTCATGGGGATTCAACGGAGATTTAACGACCTTTCAACGGTCGTTCAACGGAATCAACGGGGGAACGACGGGGGGGTCGGGTGTCGAGTTTCATTTTTTTTAGCTCCGCCTGCAGGGCCGTAGGCCTGACGGCTGTTGCACTCGACCCGTTGAGACCCGTTGAACATTGTTCAACAGGAAGGCCCCGTTGAATCGTTCAACGGGGTTTCAACGGGGCCCCCGTAGTTATTCAACGAGTACAACGGCGTTGAAAAAATCCCGTTGTCTGTTGAATAGACACACAGACGATTAGGTTTCTATGGCAATGTTGCGCGGACTAGCAGCATGAAGAGAGTGGGGAGTAAGTGCATGAGGCAATAGTCATTGGGGCTTGCGGCACATTTGGTTTTCAGCTAGGGCCTCCTATTTTTTTGCGGCACGGGGTGTGAGCGGTTTTGAGATCTGGACCATCTGATATTTCAGACAATGGTATGAGACTGATTTTGTGAGCGGGACCAGCATGTTGGTGTGACTATTGCAAGCGGACATGATGATTTAAGGTTGCGTGGACTTGTGATTGGTTGAGAAATATCCTTGGAGGGCATGGTGAAAGCTGGTATGGCAATGAAATAGTTTGGGACATTGGGACAACGTGAAAACTCGTTTGTAAAGACACTCTCTTGGAGAGCTATCTCGCTTGAGTTATGTTGTGGCCCAACGTCTGCTCATTTGAGCAGTTGGAGGAAAAGTGGATCGTCGTTCAATGGAACGGCCACGTTGTGGCCTCATAGTTTGAACTTCAACGATGATTAACTTTTATCTGATTGGAGTATTACTCGGCTTTCTTGAGTGAGCCGGATCAAACTTCTCTCAAGGTCGGTCAGTCAGTTGATTGACTCAGATTTCTCTTCACACCTGTGTGAACCCACACTTTGCTTAACCATGTTCATTTTGAACGTTCGAAAGAAAAGGTAGATGAAAGTTGTATGTGTCATGCACGTGAATGAAAAAGCCTTACTGGGTATGCGTTTTGTTTGTTTTTCCAAACTTGTTTTGCTTTGGATTGGTGTGCAGATAAGTTGAAGGATGTTTCTAAAGGAGCTTGATTAATATGCCTATTTAAGATGAAGAAAATGATTGTCAATTTTCTAGCTTTCGCCTGTTCAAAGCAATTGTATTTTAAAACGAATGATTTCGATGGTTACCGTGAAAGAAATTTGTGAATATAATAAAAATGAAGATAGTCAAACTTAATATTTTCCCATGATTGACCCGTTTTATCCCGAACGACCTTATCTACCTATACTTGTCCAAATGACTCTTATTCTCTATCTTCTTCGATGTTTTTTCGTCTAAGTTACCCTGAACTTAGGAAAAATGAGGATAGTTGAAAGTCACTCGCAGTGGACACATTCTCTTTCTCTATGAAGCATCTGGGGTGGGGGTTCGTTGCTTTAGGAACCAACCCTATTATCGACCAGAGTAGACCATTCTACGGGGGAGTACTTCGTCGATTCGGTAAGGACGAATTGACTTCTGAGATCCGAGTCTTGTGCTCGGGTGAGGAGGAGTACCCCTGACCACTTCCTAGAGGGAGAGATATGCAACACTTCAAGTAATTCATCTGTTTAAGGATCGTTCGAAAAACAGTCTGTTATCCAAGAAAGAAATGAAAGCGCATGAAGACAGGTGTGTGCGTGTCTAATCTTAGGTCGGCGGTTGGTTGAAATGAGTGACTTTGGCAACGCGTCTCATCAAGTCAAAACTAAGGCAGTTGATTATCGGTAACTAACTTCTTGTTGGCGGTTGTATGATTCTTTTGTTGAGTAAAACTCCAAGTGGTCGGATCTTATTTTGATTTGTGTTATTGAATGTATTAAATGATGATTATTTCAATTAAAATTTCATATTTGATATATTTATGTTGACTACGGTCGATTTTTTTTAATAAATGTGTGGATATTTTAACTATGTATCTAAGGGACTAGGATGAATTGCAATTTCACGCTTGGTTGAGACCATCCTAGTCGACCCCGACGTCCGCTTCTTACTTAGGAGATCAGCGCCCTAAGGAACGGACGACGTTCGGGTCCGCTTGGCGTTAACCAAGCATATTTATACTATAGCGAGTGAGCAAACGCCCTCGGCTAACCTACCTCTGCGATTGCATCTAAAAACTTTCGCATGTGGGTCAGTAGCTCGATAGGGATACGACCTTAAGGGTGGTGATAGTCCCTTAGGAAAGGCAAATTGTGCCTCGCGGGGACCTATTTTGTCGTACGGGACCGTGGGATGTATAGCTGGCGCACCCGACTAGAGCGACGAAGGGACGACGCGACTACGTCCGCCTTGGCGGTTCGCGGGCTTATTTTGTGACGTTCCCAAGTTGTCTCTTTGGTATTGTTTGTTTAAACTCATGCGCGACATGGTCGGGAGGGCTCTCGCCTTTTGCAAAAAAGGCGGGAGCTGATGCTCTCGACATCGGGCATGGTCCAAAAACGAGACCTTTAAAAAAAAAAGAAAAAAGAAAAGAAAAAAAAAAAAAAAAATTAAAAATTAAATCAATAAAAAAAAGGAATTGATGGAGGCAGGGACCCATTTGGCACCCTTTAGGTCTTGCCAATCAGACCCAGGCCCGGGCCTGTCCGACAAAATAAAAGGGGATAGTCCCACAAGACCCTCGACCCCTCAGTTTTTGTTGGTCGCGCTCCTTGCTCCATTGCCATGCGCTGGCCTCGAACCCCAAACCCATCACTTGAACGTCCAATACCGTAAGTAATAAAATTAGGCCCAAGGCTGGGTTAAGTAGGCACGTACCCCCTTATGAACAGTCTCGGAACTGCGATTGGCTTATCAGTACAAAAATGGTCTTTCATCTTGGCCTCCCGACCAGTCCCGTCGACTGCTAGATGACGTCGTTCGTCGTTGTCCTGTACGTTGACCGTCGGGTATGCCACGCGCATTGCCGAAAACCCAGACTTTCCCCAAGCTAGATCCAAAAAGCCACGCCTTTCAACGCGTCGTCCAGCTCAATCTTCCCAACATGTGCACAAGGTAAAATTTTTATCTCCTTTGCGATGTGTTCCACCAAAGGTCGAGCTCATTTGCGAATTAAGGCCAGTCTAAAATAAAAATGATTTGTGAATCAAGGCCAATCTAAAATAAAAGAAAAATATAATCAAAGTAAAAAGTACAGAAGGGGGATTAACCGGACCTTATGGCTTTGGCGCCTTCCGCAGGCCTGGTATTGCTGATGAACAACGGTCATATTAATGTGCTACGCAATAATGCGAGCCCCACACACTATCTAACACGTGGTTAACGGGGGACCCCCAGTTTTGGCTCAGACTCTTGCCAAAGGCAAGGTTGCTGAGATGGGCGCCCCGACGGGATATGTCCCATTAGTGTGTTACGTGTGTCAAGGATGCACCCAATGTGACCTTTAAAAATATGGCAAATACCCTTGTAAGGGTGTTTGCTACGACAACGCACATACACTGATCGGGAGGTGGGCCGAAGGGAAGCCGTCACTAAGGCCGATTCAGCCCTACATCGTCTACGCGCCACAAGCCGAACATCATCGTCGTCACCACAGTCATACTTCAAATTTCAAATTTCAAATGTAGAGGTCCCCCTTTTTTATTTTATTTTTTGTGGCGTGCCTCATGCACTTCCCGCCGAGCGTCGCTGGACCACGCCTTCTCCACACAGTCAGCGGACGCTCGACCATGGACCCTCCCCCTGGCCCCCCCCCCACGGTCACGTATTTCGTATGAAAATGGCCGCAGGCAGGCCACAAGGAAACGTCCTCGGGGGACGTCCCCAAGGATGTGTGGAACGATGCCGCAAAATTCCCTTACAAGCCACAAGGAAAATTCCGTGTGGCTCAAGGAACTCATAAGGAGTGTCTAACGACGCCCGTATAGTCACACCAGGTCTATTTCAACTTGCATATGTATCGGCGTGATTGCGATCAAATGCGTATAGGACGGCTCACAATTTCACGGTGTGAAGCTTACTCGTACTAATTACGATTCCGACTATCGGGGATAATGGGGATAAATACAAATATCGGATTATGGATTTAGTGAAATATTTAACATTTTCAATGATTCTTTTTCTTTTAGGTATTTGGGGAATCTTTTTAAATAGAAAGAATATCCTTATTATGTTAATGTCAATTGAGTTAATGTTACTTGCTGTCAATTTGAACTTTTTAGTACAAATGCAAATGTCGTCCGCTACATGCAAGAAAATCCTCGTGTGAGTACGGCCTGAGTATGCCGTCAGGCAGGAGTCGTGAAAACAGTCGTAATGTTTGTTTGCATGCTTCAGCAAGACTGCCGAATGATCAAGATCGCAACCGTATCTGCGAGAAAAAAGTCGAGAACAATACCATATCTGCAGAAAAGGCGTCGATTATAACTGCACCATAACCTCACTCGGACAATTGGTGTAGGGTCATTTGGTAAGCACCTTTTCTAACTCCTACCAGAAGACACGAGATCGCAGCCGTTCTAGGTTTGCACGCACAGGATGCCCCTGGGGCATGGTTCTCGTAACATCTTTTTCGTCATCTTCCCCATCCTCCTGCAGCCGTCCTCCCCTCTTCCAGTTCATCTCCGTCTGTTTCTCCCTCAGCATCATCATCGTGACCGGTGTCATCCTCCTCCTCCTCTTCTTTCTTTTCCCCGTTTTTGTGCTTTCTTCGCGAGGATATGGAACGCCCTGTTCTAAAGCCCGAGTTTTTGAAATGGAGCTGGACCACTGCATAGGTGCACGAGAAAGAATGTGTCCCTCACTATTTGGAACGGCCAGTGGCCTGTGCCAGCTGCTATTCCAAACGGACCAGCCTGCATCTGTGCCTACTAAAACGAAGTATCACCCTGTCTCAACTGCTGGCCTGAGTTTCAATGGCCAATTTTATTTTATTTTTTTTTTAATACAAAAAAAAAACAGAACCGTGCAGGTTCTGGCTCCTATCCATTCTGGGGAGCGTCAGTCCGGTTCCTATCCCATCGGCACGTATGCTCCTCCCCATTAGCGTTGAGATGCCCGAGTGGACGGCATTGATTACTTCCCGAGGGAAGGATGTACCACCCCTCACCCCTGCCTAAGTTACCCCATTTTACTTGCTTAACCTACGGCAGTGACATAATCTTCAACCAGAGAGAGAGAAAGGTTCCTGGGCATATAGCCTCTGAGGATCCTAAACTTTGGTTTCCTGCTGATTGCCCCGAATCTTGGCTTGTTCCTCAGTATGACAATTCGAAGGACCAAGATTCATAGGGGTTCTCAGCAAATTGAAAAGGGGCACCAGTCAAGGCAACTTCGTTGCGAGTTCGAAAACAAAACCCGAAACCATAAAGACTCAGGATCCAACACCATAATAAGAGAAAGGCACTCGCCCTAATAGACTGTGACAAAAAGGCCCCCACCCTAAGTGACAACAAGCCCCCCGCTGTAATAGACGGTGGCAAAAAGGCCCTAATAGACAGTGGCAAAAAGGGCCCCACCCATCTATTCTTTACAAGTTGACTACTCTCTATTTGTTCTTAGTAGACGGTGGCAAAAAGGCATCCCAAGATTGAGAAGAAGACGACCACGGGGCGATGTTTTGAGCTCCCGAGGTTTCCTACTATCGTTCACCTCGACAAGAGCATCGAAGTTACGAATGGACAAATTTGAAGAAAGCCATGCGGGGAAAGGGATCAGTCTTTCTTTTCCTTGAAGCAAGAAAACATTGTACTCTTTAAATTATTTCCTGAACTTATAGCCGTATGGATGGAAGACCCAACAGATATGAGTCTCATGCAGAGACTCTGAGTGAGTTGATGAATGCAAAAGGAAGGACCTTATTATTGGTAGTACCAAAACTTTTGGTCCGTGGAATTGTTGGAAGGATTTCCTTTTCTGTAAAGTTATGGGATGCTGGACCCGGTTTCCAACACAAGCAGCTGGGTAATGCCCCCAGTTTTTCCAGGTTGTTTGTGAGGAATTCCCTTCCCCTTTCTTTCCACCTTTGCAATGAAATGATCCAAGTTCTTCCAAAAAAAAACAAAAAAAGCCCCCCACTTTAAGTGACAAAAATGCCTGTGCCAGCCGCTTCGTGTTTTCTTCGCCATTCGAAACTCGATTGTGAATAAAACATACTTGCCCTTTTTTTCTTTTTTGTTCTCCCTCTTTCCTATACATGGTACCTTTCACTATCTACCTACCACTACTACTAAGCCTATACAGGGTACCCCTGCAAGCATAGCCACCTCTCACAATTAAGGGGATGCATGTTCGCTCCCACCCTAATAGGCGGTGGTCAAGGAGTAGCAAGGGCCCCCCTTAAGAGATATTTGCCCAACGGGCTTAGCTCAGTTGGTACACTCAAAAACTGCCAGATGAACGGAATTCCTGAATTACCTGGGGCCGGTCAGTTTCACAATGATAACTTCTTTTTTTCTTTTTCTTTTAAACCACCGTTACCTTTCCCATAGGTCGGCCACGGGCATCTACTAGCCTACTCCTAAAAAATAGCCGCCACACCGCCATCGATATTTTTCATGTATGGCGCATGGCAACCAAATTTGAATTTGAGGCCCGTGGTCCCACTTATGATATCTCAAGGCTGTCGGGCGAAAGCCTTATATATCAGAGGTAGAGAGATAGGGAAAGGTGAGATCGAGAGAAGAAAAGAAAAGAAAGGGAAAAAACGGCTGTGGCTGCAGTGTCACCCTATCAAAGGACACAAAAAAACCAAAAAAAGACTTGAGTGCGGCAATGGCACTATTTAAAACTGTAAAGGCAATGGCACTATCTGTTAAACCTGTGAAGGCAATGACACTATTTGAAACTGTGAGGGCAATGACACTATTTGAAAGTTGAAACTGTAAAGGCAAAAAAAAACACGAATGGGCGAAAAGAGCAAAGCCTCCGCACTCGAAAGCGAAATGGAAGTGCAGCGCGCCACCTCTGGCAATTTTTCATTCATTTTCTTTCCTTCGTTTTCTTTCCCCATCTGACACCATGACCGACCCCTGTAGTTATGACACCTGGCCTGGACCAAAGCACGCGGTCCTCTCATCACCCTAAGGGCCTAAGGGCCTCGCCACACCAGTGTTGTAACGGTGAAATATTCGACAACTGTCAGACCATTTTCGACATTCACCGTTTGGACACAATGGCCGCCTTCGCCAGACCAGAGTTTCGTTTTCAGAAAAGGGAAAAAAAACAAAAAAAAAAGAAAAAAAGAAAAAAGAAAAACAAAGAAGAAGACACGGGAGCTTGAGGCATAGATGTCAAAATCAACACATCCTTCAACACCTCGTCTCCGTGATGTCGAAACTCGACCCGCTGCACGCGGACACCCATGTCGAAGGTTGTCCTCTGACAAATGTCGAACTGGTTTCGCCATTTTTTCTTCGACAGTCTGTGGCAAAGAAAAAATGTCGAAAACTGTAGTTTCGACATTGGTGTGGCGAGGCCCTAAGTCTTATGGGTGGCAAAAGGGCAATGGAAGTGCCACGCCCACCCATCGTTTTTTTTTTTCATTCGTTTTTGTTTTCCGTCTGACATCACGGCCGACCCCTGTAGTTATGACACCTGGACTGGACCAGAGCGCGCAGTGCTTTCATCTCCCTTTCAGGCTTGGCGGCCGTTGCTTTTGACCAAAACTGCTTTTGTGACACAAATAAAACAGAAAAGAAAAAAAGATATCTTCGAACTGACCGGCTCATGATGAATGCATAGGCCCGTGCATTCCACAGTAGGTTTGCGCACTTAGACCCGGGCATGGGTGGTGCTCACTGTCGATCTAATCTGGGTTACTTGCCCAAAATTATCTCCGTGCAGGCTGTGAGGTCCCCATCTCTGGAAGGGAGATGGCCTTATCATGGATCACTTCGGGGGCTTAAAAACAAAACAGACAGAGAAAAGAGAAAGGGACCTCCAGCGCCAACGCCCTACCTTTCGACAGGCAATCACGAGAGAGTGCCAGAACTACTTAGGTGGACTTTTTTTTATCTTTTATTTCTTTTTAGTAAAGAGCTACGGCCTTGAGACGTCATCATTTCTTTTCTTTTCTATGTGGTCCGATGGACCACGGATCAGATACTACACTTGATCTTAGCCAGACGTCATCATTGCAACTGACCGGCCAGGGAATTCAGAATCGCAGTAGAATCGCAGTAGAATCACAGGATTTTAACTCATCTGCTTCCTGTGGAATTCGAACTCAGGTCTGTATATCAACAGTCCAGTGCTATACCAACTGAGCTTAGGCCAGTTGGTTACTTAACTCTCCTGGTCCATTTTCAATCCTCGGCCGTGGCATCACGAATATCGTCCATCTTTGGCCCTGTAGCGGACATCGTCACGACAATCCAATCGTCAAGTGAAGACGTCCCGATTCAGTAGCCCACTCGTCCTTCCGAAATGGCCTAGCCCCTAGCATTACAGTATTCATCTGATTCCACCAGGACTTGAACTCATATTCTGTTCGCCAACAGTTACATGCCTGCGCCATTCCCTCGGGCAAGAGTCTCTCTCTCTCTCTCTCTCTCTCTCTCTCTCTCTCTCTCTCTCTCTCTC